ATACTTGGCACTATAGGGTATTTCACACAACCTTCAGCTCCAGAAGACTTTTACAAAGGAATATGGAAAATTAGAGGTTCATTTTAAATAACACTTAAAGTTAATCACTTAATGTTGGGCCGCATTGCAATGCTGCTTATTTGGAACTCACTTAGCATTAGTAGCTAAAGTTGCTGAAGCCTTAGGCTGCAAGCTGTGAATTTTCACCTTGGTAAAGGGAACTTGTTTTGAGCTTCTAATTACTTATATAAAGGAAGACCCTGAGATTGATACAGACCAGGAGATAAGGAAGCTACAACCACCAGCAGAGGCTGCAACCCAGCAAGATAAGAATAGTTAACGGCCTGTCTGGAGACAGAGAAAGAATCCAATGAGGAAACAGAAGATCCCAGACCAAAAATTACTATTGGAACAAGGGACGTTTGAAAGGCATGTGAAGACTGCATGAGGGGTGGATGCATAGATTGTAAGAGTATAATTGCCCAGGAATTTCTTTGTTAGGGGTCCCTCTCTGGAGACACCCAGCTCGAGCTGTCCTTGCTGCTGTACCATTCGAATAAATTATTTTGGGGGGATTTTTGCCTGAGACTGTGCTATGGGAAACCAATGGTGAACAAACTTCTTTAACACTTTGCTATCTGCCAAGCTTGTCTGGATGGCTGGGGCATCCCAGATGGTAAAAAGCACCTAGGTTGAGGCAACTGAATTTCCTAACCTGTATATCAAACTGAAGCCTATCCCTAAATTTGCAATATTTGGTTTCTGTCTACCCAGGTAATCCATCTGTGGCCAGGCTTCAGTTTTGTTGCAGTATTTAGGCCTGCCCTTGGCCTTGGTGCTCCACCCTGGCTTGGCTAGTCCTTGGCATTTCTGTAGTCTAATCTATCTCTGGAACTCTACAGAGATTCTCGATAAAGTTTCAAAGGTCACTTGTTATGTTCAGAGATAGTCTGAGACTTTTCTTTGGCTTGTGACTACTAGCAAATCATGTTTCAGGCTTAATATGTCCTTAAAAAGTTTACAGCCCTTATTTGCAACATTCACCAGACTCCATACAGTCTCTTGTTCTGCACCCAGAAGTTAATCCTGGCCTCTGAGAACAGCTGCCTGGGCATGGATGACCATGCGTTCACACTGATAACATACTTTGGAAAGCGCTGGCTATATCCATACATGTAGGACTTTTCCAGAGATCTCTTCTCAGATACACATAGTTCAAATAAACGCTAGTGCCCCAAACAGCAGAAAGGTTTGTTCAAATGATAAAATAAAATTAACCTGAAAATGGGGCTTCCTCTTTATTCTTACTTTTACACAGATCTGATAATAAAGACCACTGTAGAGTGAAATGCGTTTACCTCTGCATGCTGTCTATGGCTAGAAACTGGATCCAGAGACCGCAACTCGAAAGGACATCCCTCCTTTTTATTTTTTCTTGCTGAACAATTTATTCTTCTTGCCATACAGGCTCCCTGACAACTCTCAACCCTTTACTTTACATAGTCAGGGTGATTCAGTTCTCTGTGCAATAGGACCTAGAAACATTTGAGGTATCCTTAGATGCCCCAGCTGGCCTCCAGACCTTGGCAGAAAGTCTACAAGATTCTTCCAATTGCATACATCAGTCCTGTACAGCTGACTTGAATGTTCTGCAGCACCAAAAGCCACCAGATAAGCAAGATTAAGCAACTGGTTTGTGTCCCTGAGCTCATGTAGAGATGACTGCCACAATTTCGTTCCTGTGTTGGGCTGAGTCCTGTACATGTTCACTACACCTCAGTGGACGTGACATGAATGGAGATGAAATGGCTGCAAGAAGCAGGCTATAATAATGAATAGGTGCCACAGTGACCAGGACAAGGACTAAGAGGCCCGAAGAATGATGTGATCTGGGGGTGTTTGGAGAGAGGTTGTCTTCCCTAATATAAACCCTGTATTTGTTAAACCTGTATGTCTGCAAGCTGGAGTCCTTGAACAAGGCATGGGGAGCATGAGGGAGCCGGGAAGAGGGCCCTCCCTAAGATATGGCGCACCTGTGCGCTGCAGTGAGCATTAAGGCCTTTTAAATTAGTAAACCACAGTGGGTTTTGCTCCACTGTAGGTTCTCTTTAACCATAGAAGGCTTGCTCCCTGCTGTGTTTTCCTCCTGCCAGAGTGATTTTGCCTGGAAGCAAGAGACCAGGGGAAATCAGTTCTCCCTAGGTTGTGTCCTTCCCTTTCACTGTCCACATGAATGGAAACTCTTCCACATCTAATGATTCCAAAAATTTGGAAGTGGGACTTCTTAAAGAAAACAAACCCATTCCAGATACCCTCTGCCACCAGCTGAGGGAGAGAGGCACATCTGGAATCTTATCCACACCAGAATAGATTAGGTGGATGGCATGAGTTCGAACTTGAGCATTATCACAAAAGTAGCATGAGAATACGGAGCTTGTACTGTATGTCAGTTCACAGGATGTACACACTCAAGGTCTGGAGCGTGTGCCCCTACTGGAGTTCAGCTAAGTTAAGCAGTTTATATGGCTGAGACCAAGGTCCTCTTTCTTGCTGATAAGAGCTGTTGTGAAGAAAGCAAGAAGCAAGGGCCTGTCCCCGCTGTTACCCAACTTGCTGGGTGACCACTGACTGTGCCTGACCCTGACCACTGTCTCTGGACCCAGTCCTGATCCTGACTTACCCCTCAGCATCCTGGATCTTTGTTGGTGAGGTCACTGCTCCCACCCACCTTCCCGTTGCATTTGACTACCAACTCATCTACCCTTGTGGAGCAGCCAGCCTTTGCTCCTACTTGGCAGGGCCCTCCACATTCAAATCTGCTGGACCCGTGAAGGCTTAAGAAACCAGGGGAAATGTAGTACCCTAAATGCTTTCATGGATTTGCACCTAGGGCCACAATCTCTCCACAGCTCAGTTGCCCTCCTTTCTGAGCAGTGCTGTCTGCCAGGGATGAATTCACAAATGAAAGCATAGGGTGAATGCTGGACAACTTCAGAGTGTGTGTGCATGTGAGAGGCGGGGTATGTGTATTATGACAATCCCCTCAGCAACAGCAGCAGACGGCTGCCCTCCAGCCTTGCGGCAACTCCTTGTACCACTATCACCAGCCAGGTTGTTCACCTGGCTGCTTCCTATCCTGGGTACAACAGACTCTGCTATCCTGTCTGCACAGAAAATATGTGAGCATCTGAGCAGACTACCTTTATGCCACACTAAGACCAGGTATTATTTCTTTGTGCTTCAAAAAAGGTCCAGACCTGAGAGGGCTGACATTCTCCAGAGATGCTCAGAAGAGGGATACTAGAGGTCCAGCACCACAAGACCATTCACAGCCACCAAGTGGTCTCCATCAAGAGTCAGTGAGAACCTTCAAGTATGCATACCAGCTGGACAAAAGTTTTGGGAAGGTGAAGCTAGGTCAGGGGGTCAGCAGTTCTGCATTTGTGGCACTTTTTGACCAAGCACTCCACTTACTCATCACCTGTGGTGAGGAAAGGAAGGTCTGAGAGGCAGGAAAGTGTTCCTTAGCTGCTCAGATGCAGCATGTAGCATCTATGCCTGGGACATTTGCCTATTCATAAGCATCAGGACTATTGGAGACAACACGGGATGTCCACCAGTTCTTGAAGGCAGTCATGGGCAACACCTACCAGCAGCACATGAATGTCAGTTCACCCACTTCCTCAAAGAACTTGATCTCCATGGGTCTCCTGGTTTGAGGTAAAACACAACCAATTTTGTTCAGTAACTTTGCTTCTTAGCTAGACCTCTTCTAACTACTAAAATTAACAGCATATTGTGCAGACACTCTTTGCTCTCAGAGTGATAAGACCTATGTTTGTAGTTGATGCTCAGGCATAGCATGCAGAGAGGTTCTTGCTTATACTTATTGCTATAACAACCAAGGGCAGTAAGCTTTGTTATTTGCCCCTTTGGAGGGTCGGAAGCAGAAAAGCGCAGTGGGGTCCCACCTGCGGGGAGGAGTGGACAGGACAGGTGACCCAAAACTGACCAATAGGGTATTCCATCCCATCTGCCCCATGCTCAGTATAAAAGTTGAGGGATCAAAGGGTCAGCACAGTTTCTTTAATGGCCTGTGTCTCTTTGTCTGCCTTTGATCCCTATCCTGAATGCAGATCTGGAATCCAGTTCCCATCCATCACTGAGTCCAATCTGGGACTTCCCCAGTGCCAGCCAGTGACGTGATTGTCATCCTGGGAGCTTGATATGGTTTTGTATATATTTCATTATTTTCTTTTTGTTTTATTGTTCATATTTCATTGAAGTAGTTTAGTTCCTTCTAAACTCATAAGTTTCTTTTTCCCTCTTCTGCTTCTCTCTTTGGAGAGGGAGGGGGAGGAACATCTGTTGGTCCCACCTGTGGTCCCCCATGTCCCCAGTGGTCAATTCAGTGTAAAACATGACCGAATTTATTGGCACCCAACGGGGGCAGGAGCAGGGCTCCACCAGGGCTGTGATAGATTGCCTGAATAGTTTGAATTCCAGCTTGCTCAGAGATTAAAACAGACAGGTCATATCATGTCATTCTTAAATGAAATGTTATATCGTGCCTTTAGAGAGCCTTATTTGCTTTTAACTGCTCTGTTTAACCTACCAAATGCATTGCAACGTTTATTTACTCTTTGTGTTTTTATGCAAAGGTTTAAATGTGCTGTTTTGGTGTGCTTCACAATTCAGGTGTATAATATGATTAGTTGGGTAACGGCTCTACCTGCATATTTTGGGAATCTGTTACTAATCTGTTACTAATTTTTGGGATTCTGTTACTAATTACACTTTCGGTTTTACCTTGGGAAAGTTTGCTTTGCCTTTGATGATTATACTAACGTGACACCATCAGAGCCCAGGAATCGAACCCTCTCAGGCTGTGACAATAAGGATTGTTACTTTCTTAAGATTGTGATTTTGTTGTTGGTGTTCCTGAATGTGTTGCAGGGGTGGTTTCTTATGAAACATTGGTGGAGTAGCTATAGGGTAACCTGTGCTGCTACTCGATCTGTAGCGGTGCAAGCCATGCCGCCATCTGTCTTGGCAAAAGCCATGCCACTGCCTGCATTGGTAAAATTCATGGCACCACTATCTGCAGCAGCACAGGCCACTCTGCCGCCCGTCCCAGCACAGGTCACTCGGCAGCCCCTCCTGGCGAAAGTCACACCCCTGCAGGCATCATCCACTTCGCAGCTCACGGTAAAAGTCACACCGCTGCCATCTATGTCAGCATCATCTGCCCCCCCCCCCAACAACAACACAGGCCCCTCCACCACCCGTCCTAGCAAAAGTTACTCCAGCCTCGACAATGAGCACCATCACTACTCAAGTTGCTCCTATAACGAGTTCCACTGCTACTCAAATTCCATCAGAACGAGTACAAGTTGCCCCAGTAACCAGGAATTAGAAAAAGGCTTGTTCCCCTGTCCCTTACGACAGGGACCAGCTCAAGCTAGATACCTTGGGAGAGAGTTCTGACAGAGATCCAGGAGAGGGCCCCTCTAGAGTAGATCCAGGAGAGGGCCACTCTAGAATAGATGCAGGAGAGGGTCCTTCTAAACCAGACAAAGGAAAGAAGCCTTTTAAAACAGATAAAGGAGAGGGTCCTTCTAAAGCAGATCCAGGAGAGGGTCCTTCTCGGGCAGCATCAACACAGGAGGAGACAGATGTAGGGACAGTTGTTAAATCCTTCTCTATGAAGGATTTGTGAAATATGAGAAAGGACTTTAGTCGTCATGAAGATGAAACACTTATCTCCTGGTCCCTCCCATGCTGAGATAGTGGGGCTGATACCATAGACATAGACAGCAGAGAAGCTAGAAAATTGGGAAAACTGGCCAGCGATGGAGGTATAGATCAAAGGATTGGGAGAAAGACAAGCACTCTCAGTCTCTGGAGGTGACTGGTGTCAGCCGTAAGGTGCAGTTATCCCTTTAAGGTTGATACCAAATAACATACAAGCAAATGGACCAACATGGAAAAAGGTATTAACTACCTGAGAGAACTGGCTGTGTGAGAGGTGATTTACAGGGACAGGCAAGTGATTGTAGACCCTGATGGAATTCCACGCAAATGTTCTATGCTAAAAAAGTTTGTACAAAGTGCACCATCAACATATTCCCACACATTGTCAACAATGGTCTGGGGTCGATCTGATGCCGACGCACCAACTGTAAATGAAGTGGTTAACAAGGTATGACAGTATGAAGACAGTCTCTCTCGTCCCTTCAATGTGGCAGCTGTGGAAAAGCTGGCTGTGAACACCAAGAAAATGACTGAGAAAATTGAGCAAACGACCAGGAAAATAGTTGAGCAAACCGAGAAACTGTTTAATAAACTATCCAAGACAGAGGAAGGATCCCATTCTTCCCTTGCACAGATCCATATTGCAGCTGCTAAGAAAAAACACCCTCCTACTCAACAGAAAAAACATCCTCCAACTCAAGACCAATCAATCCCACTCCAAGTTTTCCTGTGTCTTTGCCTCTGCAACTATGGAGAGGACATGAGGAAGTGGGAAGGAGAGTCTATCTCAGCCCTACAGGCACGAGTGATTGAATTGCAAAGTAAAGCAGATAGAAGAGAATTCTTACAGGAGACAGGCTGCTCCAACCTACGGTGGGCAATCCTTTGGTCCTGGGAGGAACCCATCTGCTAATCGTAGATACTATGCTCAATGTTAGAGGTGCCCTGCCTCCAGCCAGGAGGAGGAGAGGGACAACTGAATTTATTGGACTGTGCGGATTCAATGGCCTGGCATGTTAGAGCCAAAAGAGTATAAAGCCCTGGTGGACACTGGCGCCCAGTGTACCCTATTGCCATCGAATCATAAAGGGTCAGAATCTGTCACTATTTCTGGAGTGACAGGTGGATCTCAAGAACTGACTGTATTAGAGGCCGAAGTAAGGCTAACTGGGAACAAATAGGAGAAACACCTCGTTGTGACTGGTCCAGATGCTCTATGCATCCTTGGCATAGGCTATCTCAAGAGAGGGTGTTTTAAAGACTTATGAAGGCTTTGTATAGACAAAAGGTGATATACATTTAATCTCTGTTTAAACAATACTATTTTTTTATAACTATTGCTATCTAGCTACCCTATTTTCTGCTATGGAAAAACACCTGTGGTAAGGGGTAGTTCATGTTGTCTATGTCCAGATGGGGTTAATCACTTTTTGACACTACTCTGGGTTTCAAAGTAGGAGCCCAAATTAATTTTGACCAGACATCCAGCTTTTCGAGGACATAAATTAATGTGTTCTATCCCTAGAAATGTAAATGTTAGAGGGAACATAACTAGTATATATCACTGTTGGTCATAAATTCTTCAGTCTTCTGTACAGTCTTCTACTGTAAGAGAGATCACTGTTTCAACCGAAAAAGGAACTGAGAAATAAAGACAGTAAAGCTATTATAAGGATCTCAAACCACCTGATTTCTTTCAAATAAATGTTAAAATCAAGTAAAAAATGTCTCCTACATAAATATATTTGTGTATATACCTATATGTGGGAAATTGGCTAGCTGAGAAGGGTAACATAGATATGATCCAGCTGGCCGAGCAGGAGCTTAGGAAACATCGGACTCAGCTACTGGGATTGCTAAATTGGCAAGGACACCCTGACCCTGACTGCAGGTGCTACACGGTAATGAGAAGCCTGTGGTCACTCAGGCATGGGAAAAGAGGGAGTAGCTGCATGGGAGAAGAAGAGGGAGCTGACCGCAGATAAGGAACTAAGGGCTGGATTGACAAACCAATCAGAATGCTGTATTATGGAAACATGTAGTAGCTAACATGTATTAGTTAATTATAAAAGACAGCTGTGCTATTCAACAAAAGAAGCTTGCTGATCACTCACATTGAGTGCACCTGTCTTCCCTCCGTTGCAACACCTATATGCACATACACATGTATATTTATATTTCTTCTTTCCTACTCACATAAAAAAAACTTTGATCACTCCTTTACTTGCCATATTTACTAATGCAGAAATGTACAAAGAGGAAGCAGAGGATGGAAAGCCAGACTTTTGTGACTGAATTTATTCATCTTGATTTCCCCAGCCTTCAAAGGGTCCGTGTTTTGCTCTTTGTGGGAGTCTTGGTCATCTACATTTTGACTCTCACTGGGCAAATGACATCATCATTGCCACAGTGGTGAATGACAACACTTTCCGCAAAATCATGTATTTCTTCCTTGGAAAACTGTCATTTTTAGGAATCATCCATGTCTCAGCCACTATACCCAAGCTTTTGGGCAGTCTTCTGGATGTCAAGAAGTCTATCAGCATAGTTGGGTGCAAAGTCCAAGCTTGCTCCAACTTTTTGCTTGGTCCTACTGAGTTTTTCTTCCTCACAGCCATGTCCTTTGACCAATGCATAGCAATATGCAACACTCTCCACTACATCACCATCAAGTGTGGAAAAACGTGTGCTCAGTTCTCACTTGGCTCTTGGATGGGTGGCTTTCTGATCATCTTTGTGCAAACCATTCTGGTGTTCAGACTGCCACTCTGTGACCCCAATATTATCAGTCACTTCTACTGTGATTTCAGACCACTGCTGAAGCTGGCTTGCACTGCCCGTCATATTGAATGGCTTGTTTTCACTGTTGCTACAGTGGTTCTGTTTAGCACTTCCTTTGACTATCATCTCCTGCTTTGCCATTATATTTACCATATTGAGGATCCCATCTGGTTCTGGAGACAGAAAGCTTTCTCCTCCTGCATTGCTCATCTGACTGTAGTCATCATGCTTTGTGGGGCAGTCATATTCATTTATGTCAGGCCAAGAGGGCATACCACACTAAATAAGAACAAAGTGATATCCCTTCTGAACACCCTTGTAACACCACTGTGGAACCCTTTCATTTATACTTTGAGGAGCAAAGAGGTAAAAACGGAATTGAAAAAAATCACTTACCAGAAATACAATATTTGAGGTTAAAGAACGAGGACAAAAATGTTGACTTTTCTGCAGCCTCCTGTAGCAAGCTGATTGTAGAAGGCTCTTTGGGAAGTACATATGAATAATTTTTATAAAGAAGGCAGATGATTTAGATTATGACTAGGCAGGCAGAAATACTGTCTGTGTGATCTACGGACGATATTTAACTTACATACTCAGTTGCCTGCTCTTCCACTTGTTTTTTCTGAGACTATGCTTCCAAGTCCTTCCCAAAGATTCATAATTTTCATCATTCATCAAAGCAAAAATTGAAAATAAAAGGGCTCTCTGCCATTTCCTGTATTTATTTGTTACTATGAAAGAGATGTTTTATGATTACAAAATTTAGTTCTTCTAAAGTAAAGAGGTTGAGGTGTTTGTGTTCATGTTTGTTGTGGCTCCACTGACCTCCACTGACTTTAACATAGCAAAATCAGGATAGATCAGCATAAGCAATCCTACTTGTTATTTATGTTCTGCATCATTTATGTGATTGATATACAATGCCTCCCTAATTTATAATATGATGATCCTAAACAAGAGTATTGATTCTCTCATTGCTTCAACTGATTGTCTGTGTTATTGGAAAAAATATGATTTCCTTTAATTAATCATTGTTTTCACTAAAACAAAGAATTATAGAAAATGTTTCCTGTATAGTTAGATTAATCTTGGCTAAAGGGTAGGTATCCTTATTTAGACACTCACACTAGTGCCTCTTGTAAGTTCACCTTTGAGTGAAAAACTCAGCTGGTATTCACTGGTAAAATGAGTTCTCATAAGGAAGTAATTTTAGGGACAAATTCAGCCTTTTATTTGCAAGTAAATAAGAATTCCTTTGACAAGGAAAAAAAAACACAACAAAACCTTTAAAATTTGGCTGCGGGTTTTAAAATGCATTTCTATCCCACTTAGTAGGTAACCACCATGAAAGGTCATTGAAGTGTCAGCCTTATCATAAGTGTTAGAAACTTAGACATTGCTGAAAATGCTGACTTTAGACCTTGCATTTCTCAGTGTAATAAAATAATTGCTACCAGGATAGGTGCTTTAAGACGGTGTGCCTAAGTATACAGAAAAATAATGCAGAAGGGAGTAAGTGTGAGCTTATAGACAAGAGTATGAACTTTTTGCAACACAGGACAGTAAAGGAATGGACAAATGGGTTTGTTTGTGTCGTTGTTTTTATTTTGAGGAAAAATAATTTGATTTTTTTTTTTTTTTACAGTAGTAGTAAAACAGATGGAGAGCTACTACAGGAACTGGCAGGGAATCAGACTCGTGCAAATGGACAGACCTATTCAGAGACTTCAGCATAAACCTAGCAGATTTGGTTTTAGTGGCCCTATTTATCTCATTTACAATGTTTCCCCAGAAAAAACTATGAAGATATGATGGAAAACCAGACCATGCAGAAGAAATGAACCCTTTTGCAGTTCATAGGCATTTGGGAACTCCAGGCTTTCCTTTTAACAGTCCTACTAGTCATTTCTGTTTTAACCCTGGTATCATTTTCATTGTCTGGATTGATTAATGTTAAGGGACCTTATAAGCAGCTACCACATCCAGCAGCTCCACTGCCTGGTGATTTGTCCAGCCTGGCCACTAGACCTAATCTTAGAGATCTGGGGTTTCCATCCCAGGTGAATGGTCATGGCTGCTTCTTTCCTGTTTTCAGGTTCAACCTGAGGCTTGGTGTGTATCCCAGAGACACATGGGCACACATGTACACACACAAAAGGACACAAACACGACTGGTCACACAGCCTGCCACAGACAAGGCGCTGTTGTCAACGGCACTGACACACAACACCCACATAACACAGAAGTGCAGAGAACCATGTCCCCACCTCTTCTGGGGCTGGCAGAGACAGGAGGCCACTACTGCAGGTATACACACAGGACTCCCCAGGTTCACAAGCCACATGGATATTTGCTGGTCCACTGAGAACTGGCACAGTTCTGCTTTTCTCCTGGCATCCCTGCCCATATCCTGGCCCTCTGACTTGTCCCCCATGGGTCCCCTACTTGCAGGCTGGTCCAGCTTGATGCTCCCTGCAAACATGTAGCACTCATACAGTCATCCCATTGGCACCTCACACTCCACCCATGTACCAGCACAGACTTCCTGTCCAGCTGATACCCCTGCCCATACCCAGGGCCTCCAACTAACCGGCTGGTCCAGCTCTAAGTTGTGTTTAATACACACACACACTCCACACACACACAGAGTTTGAGGCAGCAGCCAGCACCAGGTGTATGGGTTGTGAGTCCTCTGCTGAAGGAGTTGGCGGATGTTCTCAACAGACCACTCTTCTTAATTTATCAGCAGTCCTGGCTAACTGGGATGGTCCCAATGGACCAGATTAGCAGATGTGATGCCCATCTATAAAAAGGGCTGGAAGGAGGATCCGGGAAACTACAAACCTTGTCTGACCTTGGTGCCAGGCAAGGTTATGACGCAGATCATCTTGAGTGCCATTACATACTGTTTACAGGATAATCAGACGATCAGGCCCAGTCAACATGGGTTCATGAAGGGCAGATCCTGCTTAAGAACCTGATCTCCTTCTATGAGGTGACCTGCTTGGCGGATGAGGGAAAGGCTGTGGATGTTGTTCACCTGTACTTCAGTAAAGCCTTCAATACTGTTCACCACAGCATTCTCATGAAAATACTGGCTACCCAAGGCTTGGACAGGCGTAGATTCTGCTGGATCAAACATTGGCTGGATGTCTGGGCCCAGAGAATTTTGGTGAAGGGAGTTAGATGTAGCTGGTGGCCAGTCACAAGTGGTGTTCCGCAGGAGTCAGTGTTGGGGCCGCTCCTGTTTAATATCTTTATCAATGATCTTGATAAGGAGATTGAGATCACCCTCAGTAAGTTTACAGACTAGACCAAGTTAGGTGGGAGTGTTGATCTGCTTGGGGGTAGGAGGGCTCTTCAGAGGGACATGGATAGGCTCGATCAATGGGCTGAGGCCAATGAAGTTCATTGTATGTATGAAGTATGAAGTTCAAGAAGGCCAAGTGCGAAGTCCTGCACTTGGGCCACAACAACCCCATGCAATGCTACAGGCTTAGGGAAAAGTGGCTGGAAAGCTGCCCAGTGGAGAAGGACCTGGGGGTGTTGATTGGCAGCTGGCTGAATATGACCCAGCAGTGTGCCCGGGTGGCCAAGAAGGCCAAGAGCATCCCAGCTTGTATCAGGAACAGCGTGGTGAGCAGGACTAGGGAGGTGATCGTCCCCCTGTACTTGACACTGGTGAGGCTGCACCTAGAATACTGTGTTCAGTTCTGGGCCCCTCACTACCTCTTCTCACAAGTTACAACCAATAGGACAAGAAGAAATGTCATCAAGTTGCGTCAGGGGAGGTCTAGGTTAGACATTAGGAAAAACTTTGACACTGAAAGGGTTATCAAAGACTGGAAGAGGCTGTGCAGGGAAGTGGTTGAATCGCATCCTTGGATGTGTTTAAAGGCCATCTAGATATGGTGCTCAGGGACATGGTTTAGAAGTGGGCCTGGTATAGCTATTTAACAGTTGTACTTGATGATCTTAAAGGTCTTTTTCAGCTCTAACAATTCTATGATTCTATGACATGTGTTCCCGCTCCCGCTGCCTGTGCTGAGCCACTCACTCACTTCACTCATGCCAGTCCCCTCAGGAAATGGATTTGGGATACACACTGTTCCTGCTCCAGCAGCTGGAAGCTGAGAGGCCCAGCTTCCAGTCGTTGGCACTGACACTCCACTCACTGAGATCCCATTGGCTCCAGTAGCTGACACCAGAGGCCGGAGGCTCTCACGTTCCCAGTCTGACTTCAGTAGCTGGCACTGGATCCACTCACGCTGATCCCCCCGGTAGCTGGGACTCGGTCCTTGCAGCACACATACACACAGGATAGAGTGAGACAGTGCAGAGAGAATTATGACAAGGTTTAATAAGACAGGACAGACTGCGGTGGTCAAGCTCAGAGCTCAGCCAGGCTGGCACAGGCGCAGGTTTACACTCGACCAGGCTCTGTTACACCTCCCAGCTCCCGCTCCCCTGTGCATTTCCTCAACAGCTAGCACAGTCCCGCTGACTCCATCCAACATTGTGGATGCTCAGGTTTGCATCCTTACCCGTTGCAAAGCCCTGGTTGCCTGTAGTTTCTTTAGAGCTCATCAATTAGTGTGACTTCCGATGTTTGTTTCTGGTTATTGTCTTTGTTGGTCGGGTTTTATGACTCTGTGTTTGTCTCCCTCCCTTTCCTTATCTTTCCAACTGTAAAAATAAATGATCTCAGACTCACTCCACACATCCCTACCAAGTAGATAAAGTTGTTCTCATCAGATTTGTTCTCATCACAACCTGCCTTATCATGTGTCAGGCTTACCTCTGTATGTTCATGTTTATAGCTCCCTGAAAGAGCAGACATGTTCCTTCCAGGTACCCTGATGCTCCCCTGCTGACTGGTAATATCAGAAGAAGCTGCCCCCCTCCTTACTCCCACAGAGCCTAAATGAACCCCACTATGGGCTGCACACACTGTGGCCGGAGCCTGACTCCTCTGGGCATTAACCTGGGGGTGTATGCACAGGCTGCGGTTGCTGGCCACCCCATCAGAGGCAACAGACATGAACATATTTTTATGTGTATGTTAACAAACTATCAGGACCCTGAGCACACTAATAGGCCCTTATGTCCCTGACCAGCCTCACCCAGGGCCTCCAACCTTTGAACATGGATGCAGTAGTCTCTTTTAAGCACGGGCCTGGGCATTCAGTCCCTACCCAACCCCGTTGTAACAGTGCCAGTCTCCATTTCAATCACAGTCATGCCTATGTCCTAAACTCCACAAAGAGAATCCTTCTTTATCGACAAGTTCTTCTAAAAATCAGTTCTTTTTCCGTGTCTGCTTCAGTAGAATGGAGCTTAGGGTTTCTCAAGACGGCTTGGGTGTGGTTTTTGATCTCCTTGTGTTGTTCCGTACATCATCATCCCCTGCC